CCTCCAGTTTTCTAGATGAGCGTTCATACGGTACGAATTACAATTTTTTCGCAGTGAAGATTCGGACCCGTCTTTGTGTATCAAAGAACTTTCGTCAACATACACAGGGAAGGTTCGACGTCGAAAAGCTGGAATCACAACAGCCGCTAAGGAAACAATTGATTTTCGGCAGGAAAGTTCAAAGGAAAGTTCATGGAACTCGGAAAATCATATTGCCCTTTAACTTCTTTATTTTAGAATAATCGGACATGAAACTTCGTATTTCCCTTACAGATCATGGATTGCTTTACCCATGTGTTACCAAAAGCACCGAATTTCATTGGAATTTATTCACTGTGGAAAGCACAAAAGAAATTTAAGCCTCCAATGGAAATAAATATGCCAATCAGGGACCCAAATGGTAACTGGACACGTAGTAACGAAGAAAAGGCAAATGGCTTTGCAAAGCATTTAAGTAATGTATTCTAGCCAAATGACGCAACTAATAATTTTATTCTGCCGGAATTTGCTGTTAACGGCCAGGAAAATCAGGTGGCAATTAAAATATCAAGCCTAGAAGTGGTAAACGCGATACAAAACTGAATCCAAAGAAATCGCCAGGCCACGATCTCATTACATCAAAAATGCTAAAAGAGTACCAAGAGTTGCACAAGCATTGCTCTGTGAACTCTTTAATGGCATTCTAAAACTAAATTACTCTCCTAACGCGTGGAAAGAGTCGCAGATATTAATGATAGCCAAACCAGGCAAAGACCACACACAGGCGGCTGCTTACAGACCAATAAGCCTACTACCCAGTCCTTCCAAATTATTTGAAAAAATTCTGCTATCAAAAATATCTCCTTTTCTCCACCGTAACAATGTGATACCAGATCACCAATTCGGCTTTCGTGAAGAGCATAGTACTATCGAACAAGTTAACCGAATAACTAATGAAATCCGAAAGGCATTCGAGCTCAAGGAGTACTGTTGTGCAATCTTTCTTGACGTAGCACAAGCGTTCGACAAAGTCTGGCATAAAGGTTTACTGTAAAAGTACATAAAGCTCTGCCTGTTCAATTTTATATGATACTTAAGTCATATCTGACTAACAGGCAATTTACCATTAAACAATCTGAATTTATCGGTGAGGAGCATCCGGTAAAAGCAGGTGTTCCGCAGGGTAGCGTCCTCGGGTCTATTATATATATCATATACACGGCAGACATCCCATTAAACCGAAAAGTGCAGACATCTACATTTGCGGATGACACAGCACAGCTATTTTATGCCGAGATAAATGCCCTAAAAGAGCAGCAAATACGATTAATGAGTATTTACTCATCATTGAAGAATGGCTAAAAAAGAATTAAAGTTAATGAACAAAAGTGTAGACCCGTTACATTTACTTTAAGGCCGCAATCATGTCCTGTAATTCGCTCAAATGCTATAAACATTCCCCAAGTGAGTGATGTCACATATCTCGGTATACACTTAGATAGACGTCTCACTTGGAAGAGACAAATAGAGGCAAAAATACTACACATGAAATTAAAAGCAGCTCGTTTAAATTGGCTTTTAAATAAAAAATTCCGGCCTAAAACTAGACTACAAAGTCCTTGAGATGTAGGGTTTTCAACTGTGGGGTACGACCTGTGCAACTAATATCGATAAAATACAGAGGTTCCAGTCTAAAATTTTAAGAGCACTAACGGGCGCAGCATGGTACGTTCGTAACGTTAACATTCATCAAAGCCTTGGTATTTTACTGGTTAAGCCTGAGATTGAAAGAAGCAGGACTAAGTACTTCACAAAGCTAAGAAATCATCCAAATCCGCTAGCTAATGCTTTATGCAACCCATCGAGAAATTCCCGCCTGCAGCGAAGAGATGTTCCCGCCTTCTAAGGAGAGCAACGTAGTTTGAAAAGGGCTCAGAGTTAAATAACTCGAGCTATCATGTTTGTAATTTAGTTTTTAAGATTTGTACACTTACTGTGAGGCTTATATTATAGCAGATCCAGTAAATAAATGAATTATAGTAGGTTGATAATTTTTTGAACACTTTCGCACCATAATGTACGCACAATAGGTGTTTTCTGGTCCGTCTGACTACTTTGTGTTATTTCTCCGTTCTTTTTTTTTTTGGAAGAACAAGCTCTTGCCTGAAACATATTTAGGAAAAATAATAAATTTTATTATCAGAATCGAGATCACTGACAATAGAAAAATACTTTCTATTACAAAATTATTGTTGTGAATTCTGTGGAAACAGCCCTTGTAGTTTAAAAAAATCCAAAAAATACAAACAACTAATTATGCTATATGCCATTGAAATATGTTTGTACATATGTATATTTACACAGGCTAGAAAATTTTAAAAATGTTTACGAGTGTATAGATTTTCATATGTATGTATGTAGAACAAATATACCTTGAAAAAATTTACATAGTTAATCTTAACTAGTAAATATGCAAATGAAAAAAAGTTGTCGCATTTTAGAGCAATTTGATTTCATTACGCGTCAAAAACCAACCAGCACATTTGATAATTACAGTTTATTTTTTTCAAAATCATTTTCATATCTTTTGTAACATTATTCGCTTCGAAACTAATGTACAGTATAAGGAACTTACTTAGTTTTAAAACTAAATCAAAACCAAAAATGCTGTACATAAAATGGGCAGTAATATTGGATGAGTGCATAAGTTCGTGCCCGATTTCAAGTGCAAACGAAAGCGCTTTTATTAATCAATTATGTATTCGCCATCATGTTCGGCAATCCACTCCCAACGTACAACCAATTTACGGATGCCTTATTCACTGGCAACCTCTTCCGTCGAAATACGTGAGTTATTCGCTACTAAAGTCCTTAGAACATCGTCATCAAGCTCAGATGACCGTCCACTGCGAGGTTGATCTTCGAGGTTAAAATCTCCAGAACGAAATTTCGCGAATCATTTCTTTACTGTGCGGAGTGCTGGAGCACGGTCCAAATAAACTTCGCGAATATCTTTAGTTGCAGCGCCTACTGTTTTTCCTTTGCGGAATTCGTATAACATAACATGACGCATATGATCTTTTTCGTTGTCCATCTTCCATGCGTCTTTTCACTAAGCAACTCAAAACAAAATGAAGTCATTTTATGCTTGATTTACAGTTCGATATATAATATGTATATATTTCTTTCACGAGCGCCACTCTCAAAACGATTCGAACGGCATCCAGCGGAATCGGGCACGAACTTATGCACTCATCCGTAGTAAGAAAGTCTACGATCCGTAGGTACCATTGGAATTATGGAATGTTATTTATGTACGATGAAGTAGCGTCTTTATAAGTTCGGGTAGTTACTAGGAAATTATGAAATTAAAACAACAAAGAAGACAGAACATATTGTCTAGCTATATTATAACAGTACACACGAGGAAGAGTTTTTATGTTCGCGGAGTGAAGGCATGACTAGACTCATAAGGATCGCAACGTGTTCAAGGCATCGTATAAATATGAAATATTATTGTTATTAGACATCTTGTCATGTGTTCATCATTATGAATCTGAGTCAAACACAGACTCAATCAAGTAGCATAAAAATTGCACATTACCTACTTAAACGTTGAAGTCAGAACAAAGAATATTTTGATCTATTTAAATGGCTTCGGAAAACTGTATTGTAATCGCTCCCAAAAACATAATTTTACCACTGAATAAATTGCGTTTTTAGTACAATAAGCCAAATCTCATAGAACCATCCCTTCATCTAAGTTAAGCTTCTTTGCATATGAAATACAAACATTACTTTTATTACTTGAAAGCTCGAAGAAATCATTCGAATCCAGTTCAAACTGTACCACAGTTATGCTCGACAACACTTATTCTGGCCTTACCCTTACCCTAACGTGGTAAGGCCACCGAAATGATGACAGCGCGAGAACTACAACTTTCGAAATCCGCGACTATTCTTCATTAGATGAACAAAGGAGTAACGGCTCGATCACGAAGTGAAAGTCGATGGCGTAAAAATTTCGTCGACTAACAACCCAAAGTTACTGGAAGTCACATGCATCAACCTGCACTCTTCACTACGCTTACGATTTTAATTTCCACAAAAGTTTAGAGCCGCAAAAAATCCTCAAATCTTTAACCGACAGCTTCTGTCGGGTCACCCCAACACAGCTTTACTTGCGGGTGAACCTTCACCTCTATGCAGCACTTTAGACAAGAAAAGCTGGTCATGACGGAGGAGTACCATACAGGCCGTAAACGCCATTCATCGTGAGTCCGACAACATCTACCTGAACTCTCTTTCAGTGAATCGGCGTTATCGGAATTCAAGCATCACCCACATTTTTTAGGTGGACAAACATAATGTGCCTTCTAGAAACAGTACAGCTGGGTATAATTAATTACACGTACATATGTATATACATACAAAAGAACATTACTGACATTTATATTTATATAAATATAAATAAACAACCAGTTGCCCACGCTGCAGGTATCTACTGATAACGTGTTATCGGAGAAATAGCGAAAGAAAAGCGAGCAATGGTGGGCAATGGAGACATCTATGGCACGCTGCATATGAAATTTACTAATCAAAATTCATTTCAACCGTCTTTTTTTCCGTCTAGTGTTATAAAAATAAATATATAATATATAGTATTAGAAAGTCTATATATATCAAAGGCCAAGGTTCACTCCAGGGTATGAAAATTTGTAAGACCTGGTACTTTCCGTCAACTTCTTAACCAAGATATTATCATGATTCAGTGTTAAATGAATGACTGTAGTGTGTAACGGTAGATATCGTAGCTGGAATTGTGTTCGATTTTTGTCGTAGTTTTAGTTATTTTCGTTAGCTCAGTATAGCTAGATGTGTATTCTTTTTTTAATAAAACATGAGTCACGGCGATTATGATAACCTAAGTGGGGGAAAATCATCTTTATTTTTAAATTTTTATATACATTTTCTCATCCAAAAAATGAATTACAAATTTTCACATGATTTTTAATTTTCAGATGCACTTCTTGCCGATCTCCAGAGCAGCGTGCCTGGCAGTCGCCAACCACCACAGTACAATACCTCAAAAGTGAATTATGGCGACAGTTCTGGATATGGTAGTTTGCGTGGAAAAGCAGCACCTTCACCTGTAAGTCTTTATACTAAGAATTTACAATCATATTTGTACATATAATATATATTTAAATGCAATAGTATTTACATGCCTAATCCTTTTTTTCGCAGGTACATCAGGAACATTATAGTGTAACCGAAACCCGTACTTCAGCGTCACCGCCTAGACACGTTGGCGGCTATAATGGCCTGAGCAGCGGAATTGGAAGTTCACCAGTTGGTCAGTCATATAATTACCAAAATCAAGGTAGTCTTGGACGTAGTGGTGGTGCTTACAATGGTTCGCCAGTGCAACAAAACTCGAAAAATCTATCAGAATTGGATTCGCTGCTAGAGGATTTGAGTAATGCTAGATATAATAGCAATTATGAGAAGAAAGGTAAAAAGGAAATCAGTTAATATTAGTAATGTTTGAGTTTTTATTTATTTATTTATGGTTGTTGTCCGTTTCCCCATACCCGGGTGGTGGGCATTGCATACTGCAATTTGGAAGGCCAGTATTCAAGCCCTCCGAGTTTATTTCTGTCACGAAATAAAAGCTTCTCATAAAAATCTATGGGAATCGTAAGCTGTTTAGGATAAATTGAAGGTCTCTCCATTTGTTGGAAAACATCAAGACGGATATCACAAACTGGAAGAAGAGCTCGGCCGAAAATCGCTTCAGAGGCTACTAAACGACTGTTATATAGATAAATATTAGTTGTTGTCATTTGTGATTTTCGAAAAGATAAACTAAATCAAAATGTCGATTAATGAAACTTAAAGAGAGGGAAATAAGAAAGAAGAGCTGTCTTTGTCCTTACCGAAATCTTCATGCTTTTCATAACTATATAAAATTTATGTTACTTCATTTCAGGATTAAATATAAATTCTACTATTTGTAAAATTGCTTGGAAAGGGCCATAAGATTGTCCGGTTTCGATTATTGTCGATGTCAATGTTTATTTGTAAATACGTTTGTAGAATACCGAATTTCACGTTTTTAGATGTTTTTGACGAATATTTAAACTGGAAATCGGCTCTATGAGGGCATATAGTCTATAGATTTCGATGGTTTTGAGTATCAATGTGAATTTCAATATGTGTGTACAACTCCCAATTTCATGCTCCTAAATGCTTTTTTGACAGATTTTTGACCCAAAGCTTCCGTTTGTGCAGTTGATTATATGTGTGCTTCCGATCAGTAATCATGATGTCATATCCCGTCAGTTCGTTGAACGATTTTCCCATCACTTTCCTAAGGCCGAAATGACAAACGTGATGTTTATACGTGTACGTCATTCTGTCTTCGTTGCCTTGTGCATTTTCGTTATTCTTGTCGGACAAACAGAACACAGCTGAGCGACAGCATTGATACCAAAAGAAAACAATATTGACGTGAAAAAACGCAGCAGTGCCCAACAAGCCGAACATAGATGAGCGATAGTGTTGATGCCAAAGTAACAAAACTTTGACAAAAATTGTACCTACATATTTACATACATACTCGTACAAACATTATTAAGACTCAGTCTTTATTCCAATATTTTACATAGATCATTTACATAGTTTATATAGCATACAAAAGAAATAATAATGCAGCAATAAATTCGTTTTTAAAAAATCTTCAAAATATTGTAAGCTAAACCATATATGCGTTGGTGATTCAGCTTCTCGGCTCTACGAACGCAACCGTGACTCTTCGTCGTGACTCCTTTGAAGTTTGAAGACGTCTAGATTAATATTCATATATAATATAAATGCAGTTTTACCTCGCAAAGTTTGGTCGAATACTTAATAATCTCCTGCAAGACGAGAAACGTCCACCCAATCAACCTGCTATATACCAAAATTTATGTGCTTAGATGCAAGAAATTTATGACCCAAAATTTTGATTCTAAAAAATCGGCCGTATAGCTGCTAAAGTTTCCTATCGGGCCGGTACCAACAGACCGACGAACATGGCTAAATCAATTCAACTCGTCATTCTGTTCCGATCCGATTTCTCGAAACATACAAAATGTCATAGATTGAGCCCAATGCAAATGTTCTTGCGTTAATATTATTTTTTTGTATCAAAATACTTTTTATTTAAAAAAAAAAAAATACTGAAAACTGTTTTTACTGAAGAAAACATTTATTTGTTTGCAGAGAATATTGTGCCAACTAGCTACAATTCTATCTCCAAGTATAATACCTATAATTCCAGCGATGAGCGGCCAACCATTGATAGTCTGCTTAGTGAAATGGACAATGCTTCCAATTACGCAGTACCTAACGGGTAATTATCATATTTAAATTTCTATATATTTTCTTTTTTCATTAAAATTATTTCAATTTTTAGTAGCCTTACTAAGTCACCAACTCCTGGGCGGCATGTTAGTATTACAGTACGTGAAACTAAAACGGAGACTCTCGCACCGGAAGGACCTGGTAAAATATTTAGAAGTAATTTCAATTATATATGGGGTATTAATATACTCTTTCTTATTTTTAGTTGTAGAAAAAGAAATCGTTCAACATAATGACATTTACACGACAAATCAGGCGGCGCCTACTGGTTATGCCTCGTCCGCTACTAAGGAGTTAGATGATTTAATGGCATCGCTGTCGGATTTCAAGGTAAATTTTAATACTTTAGTAATAACATTATTGAACTTTCTTAAACTGTCGACTAATTGTTTTGCACAGTTTTTTCAATGGATCCTACTGATGTTATGAGGACCAAATGATGATTTGCATTGTAAAAAGAGAATTTATTATTCAAAATTTTCAAACAAATACAACATGCAAATTCACAGGAATAGCTGCATTTGCTATACACATTCATATATAACTAAATTTATATGTTGCTTAAGTGTGAAAGTTATTTGCTAAAAGTGTGTTTGTTGTTGTATCCGTAAAAATATTTCCGAAAGTTCCGGAATGTTGCGGATGTGACTGTTTTAGGTCGAATAAAACTCTGAGTCATTCTGGTATAAAGACCCGACTGGTCGCCTCTTACGGCAGGCATGCCTTATGACAAATTCAATTCGGATCTTGGTCCACTTTTCCAGTAAAGTTAAACTTTTTCCTGCTTTCTTTTGTAAATCCATCGAAAAATTGCAATTTTATATGGCCAGTGCTATGCGGCTTATGGTTTAATACAGTTTAAAATTCGGTTTATTGTTGGCGATGACGCCAAATTTTGCCTCAGTTGTGCTCAGATTTACTTTCGAAAAATCGAGGTACTTAGCAGCATTCATGATGTTTTTATTAAGAAAATTCATCCCAACAGCAAACGATTATTTTTCAAAAAATTTTCCTACATAATAGGAAGAATGCTTTTAAATTAAAGGCCTTCCGACATATTCTTGGTAGATCACAGCTGCATTTTTGCACCACACACCCCATCACAACCTTCAGCTGGTTAACTGATCTTATTAATGATAAAAATTAAGAGGTTTTCGTCTGTATATCTAAAAAAGTACTTATATCGTAGAACAGCACACCAGTTTTTTTCATGTGACACAACGAAATTATCGCAGCCTCTTTCGAAAAAACTCGTTTCAATGTATACGAGTTTTTAAATTATTGTTGGGTAAAATAATGGGCGTTTGGTCAGCTACATAAATACAATGAAAGCGACAGCATTTTTTCATTAATGTCACATGCAATTATTTTAGTGATATACAATTTATTTTATTATTATATGTGCTCAGAATAGTTAGGTCTTGCTACTTATAAGATATTCAACTTGGAACATTTTTAATTACTCTTGAGGTTATTTTCACGTATGGATGTAAAATTGATTTCAAGGCAAGAAAAACGCTTGCTATTTTATTTTTTGAAAATTAAGACTTTATTATGAAAAAATTGTTATACATTTAATGTTCAAAGTTTTAACCATCGGAAGCTGCGATGTTTGTCCATCTTTCTGGCAGTTTGTGGATCGCATCCCAAAACAACTTTTCCGGCTTTGAGGTCAAGAAAGAATCGAGCCACAATCTGATACCCTGTTCTGAAGTGAAGCGGTGAGGGCATTCTGCATTGATTTGAACAAGTGATCTGGGCTATAAGGCGGGTGAGGTAGAACTTCCCACCCACAGTTTTCCAAATAGTTTTTAACTGGCCTTGCAACATGTGGCCGAGTGTTGTCTTGATGAAAAATTATTGATTCGTGGTCGTATATTCTGGTCGTTTTTCCGCAATGGCTTTTTTCAAACGAATCAATTGTTTTCTGTAGAGCTCCCTATTGAGCGTCTGGCCCGATTTCAATAGCTCATAATAGAGCACAGCCTTGTGGTCCCACCAAATACATAGCATAACCTTGGCACCATGGATATTCGGCTTTGCCGTGGATGTCGCTAGTTGGCCGGGCTTCAAATACGGTACGCTTTGGGTTATCATAATGAATCCATTTTTCATCGCCAGTGACAATCCGATGCAAAACTGACTTCTTTTGGTGGCGTTGAAGGAAAATTTCTGACAAGCAGAATCGACGTTCGACGTTCTTGGCTTTAACTTACCCAATTTCCAAGCCTCTGGATATGAATCCTAATGATTTTAATCGTCTGTAAACGGTTGTTTGATCAACTCCTAATATTTTTGCAAGTTCTTCTTGCGTCTGGCATGCATCTGCGTCGAGCAATGTCTCCAATTCTTCGTCTTGAAATTTGTTTTGCTGTCCGTTGTCTAAGTTGAAATTGCCACTTTTAAACCGTGCAAACCTTTTTTAGCACGTTCGTTCGTCTAAAGCATGGTCACCATAAACGTCCGACATTTCAAATGAAACAAATTGTTGTTCACGCTAAAACAAATGACATCTACTGAAAACTACGCGAGATCACAGTACCTTTGGAATTAATATAGCCACAGATGAACACGACGCGTAATAATACTAGTACAGCCCTCTCTTAGAAAACCGCATGAATTAATACACACACCCAATTGTGGCTTTGGAACACCGAAAGCGATTTTTGGCCGAGCTAGACTTAAATTCTTTGCGGCCGCAACGAGTGATAAGCATTGCGTTCTTACATTCGGAAGGCCATCTGATTGCAAACACCCCTCGGCAGGAAATGTCCAGCTCTCCGATTGCGAAATATAAAGGCTCCTTATATTCAGAGGCGCCTTAGAATAAACTGTAGGTCCCTCCAATTGTTGCTAAAAAACTGGAGAAGGAGCTTAGCAAAAATTCGTTGCAGTGGCTAGTCGACTTTCAAACAAACAGGCGAAGTCAACTCACCTCCCCATCTATATCAAATCAATTTCAATTTTGATGGGCCAATCTTTTTCCCTTCTGGTACTTTAAAACATGTACTAGAGTTGTAATACATGACACGTTTTCATGAGTAAAAAATATATTTTTTTTTTATTAAAAATTATAGATTTTTTCTTAAGACAACGGAGTAGCACGAAAACACAACGTTTAATGTCAGATAGTTATGAAGTCGACTGCAGAGGTAGAATGAAACTACTTTTGAATTATTGTAACAGCCTACAATACTACTACTATTCATCTAAAGATCAAATTAAAAATAAAAAAAACTAAATAAATGCAGTTGGGTAGTCCCCGTTGCATTCGCTCAGAATCCATGCGTTGTATTTTTGACAGCTCGGGATCTCAAGCAGAGGCGATCGCAAATATTCTTACCGTCACTTGCTGCTTCAAGTCTGCGCGTTTTCCATATTGCGAATGAATTCTTCTTCGCTCTACTGGTAATTGCAGAAAATTAATTGGACTGCATAAAAAAAAAAAAAAAAATGGAATTGGAAAACGGAATGTACAAAGCCACACTTAAACTCTCTACAGTTTCAAAAATGTTCTTGTTTTTTGTCAACTGTGTACAGCCTTGCCATTAGTTTTTCTTACGTATTAACACAAGACGTCTCAATACTAAGAAAAGCATTGAAAAATTCATTAAATTATTTAAGATATTGCTATTCTATTCTACTTAAAAATCAAAAAATCAAATTTAGTTTCCGTGTGAAAATTCTTTCTTGGCATACCGTTTGGTGGAATCATCACCAGGTGTAATCAGAAAATCAACCTGATTCTCCGATAGTCTTATTCGGGTAATGATCTTTACTCCTATTTTATATAAAGTGATTGCAAAAAGGAAAATTGTTGCTACTTTAAAAGCTCACTTATATATTTAATTTACATAGGTTCATATTTTATAAAGAATTCAAGTGTTAATATTGTGCAGGATAAAGGAAAGGATATTAAAAACCAATACATTAAAATTTTTTAAAGTTCAAAATTATAATAAAGATTTTTTTTTTTTTTTTTTTTTTTGAATAAAATTATAGCTGGAGATACTATTTTTAAAAGTCCAACTGAAAGAAATTAAATATGTGTGCATTCAAATGCTTAGCCAGTTTTTGTTTATACATATGTATGAAATTTTTAGTTCATTTGTTGTAGGGACATGTAATGAGTACCTACCTTCATATATCCAGTTCTGGATATCCACATTTACTTATAGCATGTTTTTTAAATAAACGTGGTAAATTTCTAAAAAGGTGTAATCAGTGGTTTCCTGTAATTTCGAAAAAATTCGCACTCGTTCGTATTGGCAGTGCTGCTCACTCTAATCTAATACACTGAAAAATCCATCAAAATCGTACTAAAAGTACTTCATTCAAGTAATTCTCTACGAAAATCTACACAGACATCACGGTCGTTTGACTTTGAACTAAGATACATATGTCGTTTCAAAATCATGTCCCATAAGTTTCATGAGTTAATACGCATCTTACTGGTGGGATCCAACTTGTAGCCACAGTTACCATCGCCAAAATACTCATTGAGATTATTAAACGATATATGAAGAATTCGAATATCGAATAGTGTAATTAGTTCAAGCGGCAGTGGTTCGGTTCGATCTTTTCCAGTCGTGAGATTTTGAGTGCGCGTAGATAGCGCACTTACACTTATGCAGATTGTCTAGAGAAAACGTTCAGTTGTATGTATGAGTATTGGTTTGATGCGCTGCCTTATAGAATAATATGGCTGAATATGATTATTCAATTTCATATTCCTACCTAATTGGTCTGCTCAACTTCAGGACTCTATGACCAGTGATTTAAGCTGTGTTTTGCCCCATCAGTCATTTTGTTTTATCCAAACATCAAGCTAATCGAACCCTCAATAGGATCTTTTTTTGAAACGAAGGGACCTTGGCCCGATTCCCTGAGAGAAAGGTTATCCAAAAATTAAACTAGACCCAAAGCTACCTACTTGGTACAAAAGTTTCGTGTAAATCTAACATTTTTAAATAAACTCCATTTTTTCGGTCTCATGTCTGGTTCTCGGAAAATCCTTTCATTCCGGATACCTATGTTATACCAAGAACATACTCTCCATGTTTCAATGGTTTAGCCTGTGGGTTGATACAGTAGTCAGTATCCTACAGTATAGGGCACTATATATATAGAGATGTATGGATTATAACAGAAAACGCTGAAACGCTGAAAAAGTTCGTTAGGTTTTTATCTAAGAGATGGGGTTATTGTCCTTAGTACTAGTATTACGTTCGCGTTAAAAGTTTGTCTTTGACAGTTTTTCGATTGATTTAGTCAGGACATTGTGAGCGCTCGTCAAAGATGAACACCAGCAAAGAGAAAATTCGCTATAT